GTGTGTGTGTGTGTGTGTGTGTGTACACACACACACACACACACACACACACACACACACACATATAACATTTATATAGCTGCTTTTCATTTTCAAGGATCTCAGAGCATGTTAAAAATGATTGTGCACGCAGCACCACAAAATGAGGCTACCTCTGGGGTGTGGCTGGGATCAATATTTGCATAGCATGCTTGATAGCAGTGATTGGGGAGGCAAAAATCTGATGGGCTTGCAAATTCTTTGGGGTATGAAATGTGTCAGGGGTTTTGAAAAACATAATTTTCTTCTGTTTGGATTAAAAAAAATAAAAGAAATTGCTCCAGTGAATTCTATCACTGTTCTATTTTAGAACTTTAGTGTCACTCTGAAGTAGGGACATGAACGTAGCCTATATTTTAAAATTTTACACTACAAATATTAAGTTCTAATTCTAGGCCTTGTCTATTCACAAACTTTCACCATTCAAGTTTGTATGTGGGCACTCCTATTTTGATTTCACTTAATCCAGTTTTTGGAGAAGTCATATAGATAAGGGATGTTAAGCTATGTGCCCTTTTGAGGCAGAAATCATCTTATAGGAAACTTCAAATTGGCTTGAATATAAAATTACCTTCTCTCTTAAATTAGAAAAATTTAAATTGATTTCTCCAAGTAGTAATCATTATGAAACAATATGCTGTTCCTGTGCATGCACAGAGCATGTGTTTATCTCTAATTGTTCATTTTCATGCAAACAAATGTTTACCAGAACTGTTTTCATTTAATTTGTTTATAAAATGCACATTTGAATATGTGCCTTTTCCCTTTGTGAGTCTCTTTATACATTAATATGTTAATTTTAGTGTATCTATTGGGTGTTTTTGTGCTAGTAAAAGCTTTTAAGGAAGCAAATGGTTTCTACTGAATTCTACAATTATACCAGCCTCTTGATGATTATTGTAATAAACTGCCTAGATAAGTTACTTACATGATGGGAATATATTAAAGGTATTGTAGTATGTTTTGCGTTATATGTATTTTGAGATTCCCAGCTATGTTGAACTGTGTTTTGCCACAAGAACTGATGAATTGTACAGTAGTAATTATTTTTAGCTCTCTTTAAACAAATTGGCCCATGTGGTTTTAAATAACTACATTGTAGGGTAAACCATCTTTCTAGCTTTGGAACTTCAAGGCTTAATTTTTAAGATGAAAATTTGAAAAGTGTTGTCCAAAACTTTGACTCTTTTTTGTGGCTTTAACTTACAACAAACTAAAAAACCCACCGTGCCTGGGAAAATTGTTCCCTGTTAAAAAGCAGCTATTTTAGAGCCCACAAACTACAATTCCTGTGAAGAATAAAAAAGCAGGAAATAAGAACTGGCAATGTGGTGTCACAAAGCATTGTTCTAAAATCGGAGATAAAAAGAAATCCGCACTGGAACTGGGAAAAAGTGAAGGCAATCAAGCAAGAATACATGGTATTAATTTTCAGGCTTATAAGGGAAGAGAGGGACAGCAAAAATGTAGAATAGGTTCGTGTCTGCTACTTTGGCTAAGGGGAATATAATACATTGTCCTGGTTGAGGGAGAAGTATTAGAGGGCAAAGTTGTCCATTAACAGAGTATAAAATGAAATTATATTTAGAGAAAAAGATTTGAAATACTTAATTTTTAAAAATCCAACACAAAAAGATAAACATGTTTGAAATAAGTAGTAAAGTGGACTAAAAATAGCTGATAAAGAGCAGAAAAGGAAATACTGGTTAAATTTTAATAAGTATACAAATCAACCAAGACGGATAATATGCAACCTATGTAGGTTTCTCGAGGATAAGAGGAGGAAATGTACTATTTTCTTAAAAAAAGGAAGGAACAGTGATCCTTGCAATTAACATGCTGAAAGTATAATTTCTAACACTTTTATAAAAAGATTGACAAACTGAGAGATTATTGTGTATCTAGATGCTAATAATGCAAGCAGTGGTAATCTTCTTGTTTCCATGAAGATTAAATCTTGCCATACAAAGTTGAGTTTTACTACTGAGTCCATGCAAAGATGTTTAGCTAAGGTGTTTTAAGACAACTCTATCACACAAACAGTGGCGTTGGAACTGTTTTTCTAGTGGGGGGGGGGGTGCTGAAAGCCATTGAACAAAATTGTAAATCCTGTAAATGATGGAAACCACTTTAAGCCAAGAGGTACCTCTAGTTCCAGCACCCATGCACACAAATTGCCCTCACAAAATGGCTACTCCATTTTTCTGATCCTCCTTTACATGAAACCCATGTTATCTGAAGCAGGTTCCTGTCCCCAGCTTAAGTCCGGGGATATGACCCCTTTTCGATAAGGGAAGTTTGGATAATTGAGGTTACAGTGTATAAGGATAGAAATGTCCAACATGCTGTTTTCATTTCTGAATGTCCCCAATTTCTTTTACTTTGCCTAAATGCAGAATACGGAATTATGGACAGAAGATTCAAGTTACTAGTAATTCTTATGCTTCTGGGTTTGTGTTATAGCCAGAATGTTTCTGTCTCATAGCATTTGTGTGTGTTTTTAATAGAACTTTATTGGTGTCTACTGTACATTAGCCTTTGAAATAAAATGGAACATTTTCATTATTGATGAGGAATTGTATCCATTCTGATAGACTAGCGGAGAGTAACTAGACACTTAAATCATTAAATTAGTGGGTGACAGCTTTCCAGGTGCTGCTGCTATCTCTTTGAGCAGCTATTATTTATTCAACATAGCATGTTGTTCCTTCAACCGAGAAAAGACAAGTACTTTTTCCAGAGAAAACAATGCCAAAATATTGTTTTGTTTTAGCCTCAATTTCTGAAACTGACAGAAGTTTGAGAATGAGCTATAGCTACCATTTCTTTAATTGGTGCAAAGACTTCTCCAAGGGGTTACATAACATTCCAGTTAGATTGGGTTCTTTTTCTAGTGTCTGATTACACCTTTTATAACATGATCTTCTTCTCCAGTACAAGTTGCATATATTACAGCTGCCCAATCCCAGTGCTCATGCTAATGATCAAAGAAGGTGTTGTCCTGGTGCACTCACCTTGTGTTTTGTGGCTGCTGAACAAGATTAACTGCTTGCAGCTTTTTGAAAAAGTGCTTACTCAAAAACATCTTTTGTTAAACTCCCAGAGTATGAATAAGTTTCAGCGCAAACTTTCTTTTGGTTCAGGGACAACGATCAGTTGGTTGGAACCAAAGATTTCTTTGTCAAATCATTTCAAAAATGGAGCAGCTCAAGATTTTTCATCAGAGCCAAACAAGCCAGCATCTGTCATAGAGGAGCAGTCTATGCCAGAGCCCTGCCATCTAACAAGGGTAAGATAATGTGACCGCCCCAGGTCTGTGAGGAATGTTTCCGTTTGCAGGATTATCTGGAGATATTTAGCAATATTTTTATATAATGCAGGAAAATTATGGTAGTTCTCCTGCCAGTACAGACATTTGAGTAGAATAAGGAGGACCACTTCTGAATTAAATGTTTTGTTGCCTTGTAGCAAGTCTGTCTTCTTCTAGTATACAGCTGCAGGGTGACGTATGAATAAAATAAGTGTTAAGAGGTATGGGGAAGGCGCAAATTAAAGCATCAGTTTACAATATGTAAATACACACAAATTATTCCAGTTAGTGTCATTTTAATACTAGAAATCAGTGTGAAGTGAATAAATTGAATTTTTTCAAATATTCACAGTATAAACTACTTTTGAAAATTGCTCAGCAGAGGATAGATGAGGGAAACTAGTTTTTAGAAGTATTTTATAACTTATTTTCCTAGATATTATTGCTTTTTTCTTTTTCAATCTTTAGAAAAAACTAATCTTTTTTAACTGCCCTGAAGTCAAGTGATGTTGAATTCTGTTGTATTTTCAGTACTCTAAACTATCAATTATTTTGAAGTGCAAAAACATTCTTGTAAAATACAAGAATAATGAAGATTGTGAAACAGAGGCTTTTAAGTTGCAGTTGTAAGCAACTTGATTCCTGAGAGTTGTGTGTGTATGACACTAAACAACTCTTTGGGGCAGATTATAATGTTTAGGGTAATTTTTATTCTATATGCATGTAACAATATCTTGTCTCACTTTTCTGTTTTATAACATTTTTTCAGTGAAGTTTTATATAAGAAACCTAAAAATATAGGTTGAAATTGAGTATTTAATTCACATAGACCAGGGGTCGGCAACCTTTCAGAAGTGGTGTGCCAAGTCTTCATTTATTCACTCTAATTTAAGGTTTCGCGTGCCAGTCATACATTTTAACGTTTTTAAAAGGTCTTTCTATAAGTCTATAATATATAACTCAACTATTGTTGTATGTAAAGTAAATAAGGGTTTTAAAATGTTTAAGAAGCTTCATTTAAAATCAAATTAAAATGCAGAGCCCCTGGACCGGTGGCCAGGACCTGGGCAGTGTGAGTGCCAGTGAAAGGCACACGTGCCATAAGTTGCCTACCCCTGACATAGACCTTTCTTTCCGGAATACAGACAGATGGCAACCCCTATAGGCCAAGAAGCAGAATTACCCTTAAGATGAATAACTCCTTACCTTTACAAAGTTCATTCTAAATTTATTTGTCTCGCCAAAAGATTTAAATGTAGGGCAAGTATGTAAAAAGTGCTTTGATTACTACATTGTCTGTGGTTGGAATATAATTATTCTCAATGACTTCTTAGACTTATAGGATAATAGAAACATAGGGCTGAAAGGGACTTCAAAGACGTCATCAACTCCAGCCCCCTGTGCTGAGGCAGGACTAAGTAAACCTAGACCATTGGCAGGTGTGTTCAACCTGTTCTTAAAAACCTGTACACTGTCTTTCATTTGTGAGTACAACATGGTGTAGCATCAGCAGAAAAAGAAAAAAAAGGAACACTTGTGGTAATATAGAGGTCTGGTTTTCTCTGGAAGCTCATTTGAGACCATTCCCAGTCTGATAAATTTCTTTTTGGTTTTTTAGACTTGCTTCTCCTGCCCCATGAGGCACATGCTAAGCTTCCCTTTTTAGTCCGTTAGGTCTTTGAATGACTGTGAATTTCTCACACCAGGAACCTGAAGAAATAAACCCAGATGAGGAGCTGGAGGATACATGTGTTAACAAAGAGGATGACCTCGGAGCAGTGGAAGAACAGCGCAGTGTTATCTTACATCTCTTGTCTCAGCTGAAACTTGGCATGGATTTAACAAGAGTAAGTGACCAAGGTGTGAAAGCTATCTGTAGTGCAGGTGAAGTGACACCTAACCTTTGTCCATCCAAATGCCATATGGCAATTTGCCAGGAGCTTGCGGAAACATACCTATTTTGTGTAAAATGGAATAGATAGTAGCTATTTTTGTACAGAGTTTCAGCCTGCAAAGACTTCAGGTCCCAACTTCAGCCTGATCTGCAGGACTTGAAACATGTATTTGATGCCTACTAGCCAGTAAAACAAATAATAAATAAATAAATAAAATAATACAGTATAGCTTACCGTACCACCCTAAAGCCACCTCCACTACAATTTAAAGAAACAGTTGTATGCTGTAACTGTGTGTGTGTGTAAAGAGAGAGATAAAATTCTCTCCATCTCTTTTCACTTCTTTGCAGCTCTTTCTCTCCCTACTTTGTGTTTCTTTACTTCTCTCCAATATTTTTTCTTCCTCTCCCTCCACTTCTGACATATCTACATACCACTCTGACACATCCCCATGGTCTCTCACAAAGGGGTTGGAGGTTTTACCAGATTCGTAGTAACTAGAGGGCTCAAGCTAAAGACCAATACAAAAGGAGGAGTCCAAGGGCAACCTCCCTGCAAAATTCTGGGAGAGAGGAAGGGGCTGACTCCAGAACCTGTTTTGTGTGTATCTTCTTTAGCAGTCTCTGGCTAGCAAGTCTTATAAATATGAGTTCCCTTTTTTTCCAACCCTCAACTGGCTGTTAGAAAGAAGAATGAATGTTCTTTCTTTCAGTTCTCAGCCCCAGAGCATCCTGGCATTCACAAGCAGTGGAGTTCTGCTACTCTTTCACTCTCTGTTTTCTGTTCGCTGCTGGGAAGTAAGAGCGCTCTGCTATCCTGACCCTCTCCCACAGTTTTGCTGCTGCTCAGAACTTTATCTAAAGGTAGCAGAATGAAATTGACCTCCTCTTGTCAGTTTCACGGCTGCCCTCAGGGATCCCAGTAGCCACAGTGAAAACTTGACAAGACTAATTAGTTGTCCCGCTGCATGGCTTGGGGGGAAGCATGGTACAGAAGCAGACACTGGAACTGTTTTTTGCAGATCTGGGAAGATTAGGCTGCCACTGATTTATTCTTGGTTTACACATGGAAGATGGGGAGATTTTCTTTGCAACTAGACTAGAAACTTTTTTAAAATTAAAGCTTAGACTCTGCAGAAGTTGATGGGATTTGGCCAGAAAAGCTTTCTCCTCACCACAGAAGATTGGGTTTTTTTAAGTCTCTCTGATCTGAGTGGTGGTTTGCTTGAATCAATATGGATAATTACATGGTGGAGCTTGCGTTCCTGCATTAAAGATGAAGGCACCTGCAGGCCACATTTTTACCACCCCTGCTCAATCAGGGTTCAGTTTAGTTCTCCCCATAACTTGGTCCTTACTGCCATTGATAAGACGGTAGTTAAGTTCAGATTTGTTTTTATTCTTCTCCTTTTCCTCATAACAAATTGTTAGTCATGTTTTCCCTTCCTTTATGGCTGTTTCCCATTTTTGAGTTCCGTATATACTTGATCATAAGCCGGTTCGTTTATAAGCTGACCCCCGCAAGATGGATAAGTAAAAATGGAAAATTTTTATAACCCGTTCATAAGCCAATCCTATAATTCAGGGGTCAGCAAACTTTGGCTCCCGGGCCATCAGAATAAGCCGCTGTTTTACCTCAGGCACGGAGGTAAACCTAAGTAAACAAAGTGTCACGACGCACCAGCTGCTTACCCCGATGAGCCGGACAGCAACTGGTGGGGAAATTTTTTGTGGGGGAGAAGCTGGGAGTCAGGGGAGTAACCCCTCTGACCCCCCCCCCCCCGCACACACACACA